CACCAACTGAAATGAAATCTCAACAATACAGAAAAGAGGCTGCCTTTAGGCCCACCATCTCTTAAAAAGGCTGGAAAGGAAAGGAATCTGTTCAGGCAAAACTTGGAGGTGAGGTACTGCCACATCTACAACAATCGGATAGGTTGCAAATCTACAAATTAGGTGCAGAAGTAGGCCATTCAGGCCTTTGAGCCGGCTCCGCCATTCAGGCCTTTGAGCCGGCTTGGCCATTCAATAAGGAGACAGCTGATTGCTTTGAATTCTGAATTCCACATTCCCATCTAGATGTAGTAATCTTTGATTCTATTGCCTGCCAAGAATCCATCCAACATTGCCTGAATATTAGTTGACCCTGAGTCCACCATCTTTAGAGGCAAAGAATTCTAAAGTCAAATGACACTTGGGATTTTTTTTTTGTCACAATGTGTTCTACAAGGGCTTCCCCTAATGTTAAATCAGCAACCCCAGTTCTGGATTTAGCCAATAAAGAAAGTCTTTTCACGTCCATCTTGTCAAGACCATTCAGGGTACTATATATTTGAAACCAATCATCCCTCACTCTAACTCTATTAAACCAAGCCCAGCATGTCCAATCTTCTCAAAGTGCAACTTGCACCTTCCAGGTACCATCTGGTAATCCCCTCTAAATCACTTTACATTTACATCCTCTCTTAAATAAGGAAACCAAAACTGACGTGAGACGTGGTCTTTTAACATATATAACTGAAGCATAATTTTCTGGTGATTTAGAGAGTTTATGGTTGATGATTTAAGCAAGGGACTGTACTAATTATTTTCTGTTAATTTGGTGAATTTCATTAAGGTATTTTTCACAAGGTCCTTTGTTGGATCGTATTATTGATAAGTTATGTCACTTCGAGAGTGTGTTGGTAACGGATGTATTGCTATTAAAACAAATAAAAGCAATAATTGGAAGCGTGACTTTAAGGAGTTGGTTTTCTAAGTGATTATTGGTTTTCTTGCCTTATCTATTTTTCTTTTACCTTCTTTCTTAAAAATGAGAGATTGCCATTAAGTAGAAAATAAAAATACAGTGTACGTGCACGAAAGGCCAGTTCCATGGGATATAGCGTTACAATTAAAATAACACTAAATTATGTAAGGTGATTTTAGGACACATGGTTTTAAGACACACCTTAACATAAGGGGTAGAGAAGCAGAGATTTAGGGATGTAAGCTGCACTGTGTGCAGTGCCATTATATAAGTGTTACTCAAAACCCCAAAAGATGACCAATTAAAGACTCAAAATCCCCAATTAACCCAGGGGTTACCTCAGTTTAGGGAGACTGTAACATCTAAGCACGCACTTGCTCAAGGCACCATCAAGCAGTCTGAAAGCAATTCAGATTTGTTTTTGAATTTTCAGTGGTCTGATGGTTTACTCCTGACATCCATCAAAACTCAGGTTTGAAAAATTCCTGTACCTATTGGCAGTCAGTCAGTGTATTTAAAAGTGAGGCCCTACATTGGCCTATTGCAATGTGAATGAGACACAGCCACATTTCATGCACTTTAGACAACTTCGCACAAACTACATTGCACAAGTTATGTTGATACAAAGTTGGAGGTGTAAACCATGCACAATACTGGACAATTAAATGCTGCATTTAGGGTTTCTACTAAAATAGAAATCAATAAAAATTTCCTGCTTTTGTTTGCTTCCATCATTTAAGAGATGTTAACTGCCATGAAATAGTAGAAAGGCAACTTCGCAGCCAGATGGCCAAGTCTTTGGAATGAATACAGTGTCGGAGCAGTAAGATTACTTTTTGGTGAATCTACAATGATGCAGCAAAACATCAGGATGCACAAACATTACGCTTCACTTTCCACAAATCAAACAGAAAGCGGAAGTTAGTGTTGGGAATCCACAATCGAGGTAAACACACTGACCCAGGAGGAAGAAAAATGGAGGAACAAGGAAGGATAGATTGTAACTGGTGCAACTTTGCACAAGTGGGATCCAAACAACCATGACAATAGCAATGAGGAGGAGAAGGCAAGTGAGAATCTGGGAGACAGATTCAGTGCACTTCCCAGTGGCTGAATCTCAGCTATGCAATTCTTTCCTGAAGTTTTATTTTTAAATTGTTAAAGCAACGGATGTATTTAATCCCATTCAAAATACATAAATAAAAAATGCAAGTAATTTATCTTCCAACAATTATGACGACATCAGGCTTCTGTAGACTTTTGGGACTTCAGAGCTGATCACTAAATCCCACAGCTCAGGTAATGATAAGCATAAAAGTTTCTTCAAACACAAACATCAGGGATGACCCCGAAGGAGGAAAAACCTGTGCCAAGAGGTGTGCACCAGGATATACAAAAGCACACCATTCCGCAGTTACTTTCTTGACTAGTTAAGGGATGAAATAAATTTTACCCTCAAGGCTGGTGACGATTTGCAGTTTTGTCACTGGCAGTTTATTAATAAATTAACTTGGAGATTTTCATTTTTAAGTCAGTGAGAAATATGCTGGTTGGTAGCACTCCTACCTCAGTCAAAACATGCTGCATGCAAGTCCCTTTCCAGGGTTTGGGCACAAAAATCAAGATAAACACTCATGCAGTATTAAGGGATTGAGTACCTAGTCCAACTAAGAATCTACTTGCTAGTCCAGAATGATGAAAGAGATTCCTTGGCCCTATTATTTCAAAGAGGAGCATGGGAATCATCCCCAGTATCTTGGCCAATAATTACATCATTCAAAACCGATGTGGTCATTTTCATATTGCAGGAGTTTGCTGTGCATACATTGGTTTCTTTGTTTATATAAATGATTTGGATGTGAACATACGAGATATGGTTAGCAAGTTTGAGATGACACCAAAATCGGTGGCGTAGTGGACAGCAAAGGAGGTTATCTCAGGGTACAACGGGATCTTAATCAGATGGGCCAATGGGCCGAGGAGTGACAGATGGAGTTTAATTTAGATAAATGTTAGGTGGTGCATTTTGGAAAGCCAATTCAGGGCAGGACTTATAAACTTAATGGCAGGATCCTAGGGAATGTTGCTGAACAAAGAGACCTTGGAGTGTAGATTCATAGTTCCTTGAAAGTGGAGTCGCAGGTAGACAGGATAGTGATGAAGGCATTTGGTATGCTTGCCTTTATTGGTCAGTACATTGAGTATAGGAGTTGGGAGGTCATGTTGCGGCTGTACAGGACATTGGTTAGGCCACTTTTGGTATACTGCATTTAGTTCTGGTCTCCCTGCTATAGGAAGGATGTTGTGAAACTTGAAAGGGTTCAGAAAAGATTTACAAGGATGTTGCCAGAGTGGAGGGTTTGAGCCACGGGCAGAGGCTGAATAGGTTGTGGAACGTGAGAGGCTAAGGGGTGATCTTATAGAGGTTTATAAAATCATTAGGGGCATGGATTCCACAGGGTGGGGAGTCCAAAACTAGAGGGCATAGGTTTAAGGTGAGAGGGGAAAGATTTAAAAAGGGAATCTAAGGGGCAACTTTTTCCACACAGGGTGGTTCGTGTATGGAATGAGCTGCCAGAGGAAGAGGAGGAGTCTAGTACAATTACAACATTTAAAAGGCATCTGGATGGGTAAATGATTAGGAAAGGTTTAGAGGGATATGGGCCAAAATGCTAGCAAATGGAAGGAGATAAATTTAGGATATCTGGTCAGCATGGATGGGTTGGACTGACGGGTCTGTTCCCATGCTGTACAGCTCTACAGCTCTATAAATACACTAAGTACTTAGCTGGCTGTAAGATGTCCAATAGTTATGAAAAACAATGTGGAATTTTAAAAAAAAAAGTAGCACTTAAAGATACATTAACTGGATTAGTAGCTGTTTTTGCATTTTGGGTAATATTCAAAACCAGTACCTGGATTCAGTGGAGTTATTCAGTAACAATACTATTACTGGCTGTGTACCACAACTGTAAGCATAACTCAGCATCTTCTGTGAACAGGAACATATGTTCAGTGTCCTGTTGACCAATCACTCCCCTTCATATTATCAAATCAGTTGAGGGACTTGATGGCATATGGGATTTTTCAGTATTTATTTCCAATCTCTAATGGTTCTCAGGTGCTGGTGATGGGTCTTACCCTCAAATGTCTACACTCCTTCTGATTATGATGTTATGCCATTAATGCTCAATGACGAACTTCATTAGGGTTAAGTCATCAGATGAATGGATGGCAAGCTATGTTAAAATCAGAACACTGCATGTCTTGATGGGATTTGAGGTGATCATTCATTTGGTGTCATGGGACATCACACTACAGATGTTAGATATTACCACCTCCTGTTGGTCTCACATCTGAGGTATCTGCCTAACATAGACGAGCTTGGTGTCATTTATTCTGTATGCAGTGCTGCTGACACTTACTTGCAGACACAAGATAAGCAATAAAACTATTTCGACAGAAATGCAAGCCTTTAGTGGTTCGTTCTGAACTGTCCAATGTTTCTTTGGAACATCAGCTACTGCTGATTTGCTATCGCGTTGTCCCCAAGTCGTCAGATTCTGACAACCGAGCACAAAATCTAGATATACATTCCAGTGTACTGAAGGAAGTAATGCATTGTAAACAAGATGTTAAACCAAAGTACTGCCTGCCCTCGCCTAAGAGCATAAAAGATCCCATGGCATCATTTTCTTAGATCAACAGTGTCCTATGTGGTCACTTGACCAATATAAAATCGCTCAAACACCAATAAAAAGTAAATTACCTGGTCATTCTCACATTGCTGCATGTGGGACCTTGCTGTGTACCAGTTAGTTACAGCTGTTAACACTTGAGATATTCATGGGAGATGGCAAAATATGTTACATTAGTGCTGGCTTTTTAAAAATAATATGCAATTTTTTAGTTCAGTTTTCAAATCTTAGAACCCACACCCTCAATTTCTTTCTCTAAACAAACATACTCACCGACTGCATTTATCATTATTGCAACACAACCTGGGGTGCCACGACTTGAAGTATCAAAACAACTCAGCTCTTACCTGCCAGTCTGTTGTTCACTTCATTGTGCTTTCTCCATAGCCAGAGAATGGCATCATCCAGTGTGGTCACTTTATCCATAGATTCTTTTGCCATCGCCTCAAAGTGCTGTGCACACTCCCTGCATCCAAAGAAATAATGAATGTATTTCCTGATAACCTGTAGAACTACTTGAGTGCTGTCGAATCCTAGACAGAAAGAGATGACAATTGTAAATAGCAATAAAAAAAGTCAATATACCTAACTGATCAATGGCTATTTCAATAGTCTCTATCTTCTCACATTTAACTTTTCGTTCCAAAGCACATTGGGTTCAAGAAGCTGCTCAGCACAGGATAAATATTGGATGCCTCATAGTCAAGAGTTAGGTTAAACATTTTTTCTTTCTTTAAAAAGCCAGCAAGCAAAAATATTTTTCACCCCAATTAAAAACATTCGTTATGAAAACATTAATAAACAGTGCAATTAGCAACAATTAAGAAACATTGCTCAAAGTACTGGCACTACCATGGACAAAGTATTGGGTCTACCATGGACAAAGTATTGGGGAATTATTGGCTCCTCAAGCTTCGTGCGAATCAAAAAGACAGGTGCAGGTCTTGAACATATTCCCTTTACACAGAACATGTCCACGCATTTGAATATCTGTCACCTTCTAGCAAGTGTAAACGAGTTACACAAGATTAGAGTTTGAACATCATAAACTGGTTGATGGTGTGGTTATCTGCACACATAAGACTGTTCAGCCAGTTCTGCTCAATTATGCAGTCTCAACAGCAGATTTTTAATTTTGGGTTTTGCAAGAACAATCAGCTGTGTACTCTGCCTGCTGCAAGCAACCAAATGAACACACTGTTTCTATCAGCCACTCTCCAAGATGTGAGCCCAAGAAACTGAAAACATTGTGTCAAAAAACTCGTCACCACATTTTTGTTTGCAATTATTTGTAATATTTGGCAGAAAAACAAACAAACAAACAAAAAGACCTTAAAGACAAATTCATTCCAAGTTACCTACTAATTGTAAAATGTATACTGCAGTTCAGAGCAACAAAATGAAATAACTTTTGAATTGATCCTCACACAACTGGTCTCAGTCTCGTACCAAACTTGGAAAAGTTTAGCATAATCAGGTCACCGTTAATGAGCAAAACATGACACTTTACGGTTTCAGGCAAAAGCACCAAGTGTGAAGCTTCATGTACTCTTATCCAATTTACTCATTTCTTTAAGGAACTAGTACATCACACCAGTCATTCTTCATGAGGCCAGAGTTTTAACATATCATTTGACCAGCAAGTCAATTACATCAGGGATGACTGGAGAGGTGGGTAATCCCTAACAACTTTTTCTAAGTAAATCAATGACAAATTACATTGGCAGACTTCATAAACCATGTAGTCCAAACTTGTTTTTAAACCATTCTTGGATTGCCATTGTTCTGGTCTGAGAACTGTCGCAGCTAAATTCCCAAAAGTAGCTTGGTAGTAAGTGCACTGTCCAACACTTCTGTGAACTTGAAATGCAAAACAACAGATATCCTCACCATGAGGACTCTTGTGGTACAATGGTATGGTCCCTGCCTCTGAACAGGGAAGTCAGGGCTCAAGTCACAGCTGCTCCAGTCACGTGCCTGACCAGGTTGATCAAAAGTATCTACATCGTGACTCTTTAGGTAAGGTGAACACCATTATAAACACGCGAGGGGAGCAAGAACAGGCAACTAGGCCCTTTGAGTCCACTGAGCCATTCAATAAGATCATGGTTGATCTGAATTTAATCACAACTCTACATGCTTGTCTACTCCCAATAATCTTTCACCCCTTGGTAAGAGAGAATATGTACCTCTGCCTTAAAATATTTAAAGATTCTGCACTCATCGCCTTTTGAGGAAGGGAATTCCAAAAGAGACTCAACCCTCAGAAAAACAACGTTTCCTCATCTGTCTCAAATGGGCAATGCCTTATTTTTAAAGCAAAACCCACAGTTTTAGACTCTCCCACAAGAGTAAACACCCTTCCCACGTCCTCTGGTCAAGGCCCCTCAGGATCCTTGTTTCAATTAAATCACTCTTAACTCTTCTAAACTCGAGGATAAAGACCTAGCCTGTCTAGCCTTCCTCTTAAGGCAAGGCACTCATTCCACGTGTCTAGTAGACCTTCTCCAGACTGCTTCCAATGCATTAACATCTGATTAACAACACGTTAACTAGAGGGCACCCAAGTTTGTAAGCATTGCTGTGACTAGCCAAATTAAACTTGTGATCTATGATCGTGCGCAGGGGCTATGATATACATTATAGGAAATTCAAGAACAGCTTGAAACAACCAAATATCCTTTCCTGTATATCTATATGAATCACATGAAACGACAGCTCCATCTTTGAAGCTGTACGGGTTGGTATTTCAACCAAATACACTTTGTCTAGACCTCAGATATATGTGGGCCTCAAAGTGCCTTCTGGGCTCCCTCCAACTTCAGGTCCTTGCATTGTGCTTTCATATTCCACCATCTACCCCTTGCTTCACCACCAATGTATTTTTCTCACTTCAGACACAGGCACCAAATTAAACATTCAGTCTGCAATGTTCTTGTGGGGAAGCCAAGAATAAGACGGCGCAGGATACAAGGGTCTCCCATTTAAGACAGATGAGGAGGAATTTCCTCTGAGGATCATTAATCTTTGAAATTCTTAGGTAGTAGTGGAAACTGGTTGATTGAATATATTTTGAACAGAGTTTGACAGATCGTTGACTGACAAGGGAGGAGTAGGAAAGTGTGTTAAGGCACAATAAAATCAGCTATGATTTTATTGGAATGGTGCAGCAGCTTTGATAGCCTACACTGGCTCCCATTTATGATTTTATGCTCTGTACTCAAAAACCCTCCTGAATGCCTTCCTGTCACTCACCCTCAGTTGTCTGGTAGCCCTGACATTTGGAAATATTCCAATCATGGAGCCTGCTCCCTCAGGGATCCTATAGCCATATCTCTGCTCTTTGTCAGCACCAAGTATCAATCTCGTCACTCAAAGGCTCTCAAGGCACTGTGCTATTAGGAAAAGAGCTCCAGGATTTTGACCAAGCAACAGTGAGGAAACAGCAATCTCGTTTCAAGTCAGGATGGCATGCGACTTCAAGGGAAACTTAGAGGTGGTGATGTCCCCATGAATCTACTGCCCTTGTCCTTCTCGATGATAGAGGTCAGGTACTTCAAAAAGGGAGGTCTAAGTAACCTTGCTGAGTTACTGCAGTGCATCTTGTAGATTGCACATGCTACTGCTATTGTGCATCAGTGGGAAAGGGGGTGAATATTGAAAATAGTAGTTCAGGCACCAAACAGGATGTTTCACCCTGGACAAACAAATCATCCACTCCCTCACAAGGCACGCAAAACCTCTTCAACCTGATAATCCTTATTTCTTCCCAACCACTTTCCTCCTCTAGTATTTCCTGTTACGGCATTCAATAGTCTTTTCAATGTAACATTTCCTAGGCCCCGCTGCATGCCAACTCCATTCTTCTCGGCCTCAACCAGGAAACTATTGAAATGGTAGACAGAGTCCAAGATTGCCCGAAAAATGATTAAACTTGTATTCTTTATGAAAATGGTCACTGTACAACATTAGTCAGACTCTCAAGAACTTGGGCATTGATTTCAAGCAAGTTCCCAGAACTTTCAGCAAAATATACTTCATGCACAGTCTATTCAAATGGTAAATTTGAGTGGGTAGAACTCAGATTATTTCTAACAGTGGAAATAAAAAATAGGGAGTTTTTATAAAGCAAGGATACACAAGGCAATCTGCAACACCTTAAAGTAATGTTCTTTACAAAGTTCTCAATGACAAAATAGACAACTGTGGAACTTAAGACTTCTAGTGAAAAAGACTACTTGAACACAGCTTTCTAAAGCAAAACTTCATTATAAATCTGAGGCAATATGATTGGAAATCATATTCTTTTCAGGGACTACAGATAGTACCTAATCCTTTATTTCAGAGGAGGCCTTGCACTGAATTTGTTAGCCCCCTCATCTGGTAGAAAGATTGATACGCAAAGAACTCAGAATATCGAACTACAAGGCTGATCTAAATTTAATGTTAAAGCAGGCCCATTACTAGAGTACAGATTAGCCTCGTGGCCCTTGGATTTACCTGACAGCATCAACACCACAAACTTTATAAAATGATTGGAAAAAGATGGGGCTAGTGTAAATATCCACTATTTTTTAGATTCATATTAATAAGATCTTTTAAGGGGTGTGGGAAGACAATTGTGGTTCTTACGGGGCAGATATTTCTAATCCCAGTTAGAGACTGAAATAATTGAATATACTCAACAGGGAGATATAAAGGAGTCCAGAAACAAAGATTCAGAGCTGGACTGTATAAGGAGAGGGACAAAAAGATGCGTCGTGAGATTTGTTCTCTTCTTTAACTAAAGCAGCATTGTCCAGTCACAAATCTGGCCTGGATAACTTTTAACTACATGTTACTTCAGTAGAAAGGTCATTTCACAAAATACAATACAGCTGTATTGATATTTACTTAAAGATTTAGCACCATTTAGTAATTGAGGAACTAAAATACTCAATCCAAAAACACTACCCTTTTTGTCACAACAATCTACCACCCAATGCGGGGAAATGATAAAATATACATGCCTGCATTGTGCAAAATGGCTTGGAATTACATTCTTGCATCCTAACAATGGCAATTACTCATTTGAAAAAAGGAACAATTTTCTTAATTAGAAGTGCTATTAGTCTTACCTAGATTCAGAATCAGTCACAATATGGCTTATGTGCTGAACACTAACAGTTAATTTTCTTGGTTTTACTTAAAAATTCTAACATTTATGATGATGGGGCACATGTATGTCCCCTTTCAGAAGTTTTTTATTGCTAAAGTGGGTAGTACAGAAGTTTATTACAGGCTCACCAGCCTCCACAAAAACCCAGATTTGACTTCTTCCCATTCTGCGTCTAATAGGAGCTACATTCCCAGCTTCACTGCCTCACTTGCTCAAATGCAGTCACTTTTCAGACTAGGTGTCATCAAATGATCCATTTCCTCATTAAACAGCAGTTAAATTCTAACTGATTGCTATAAATAAACAAACACAGTTATGGACAATTAGCATGTGGCCTTGAAAATAAATTGGTCAATTTAAAAATTGCTTTGCTATTGAGGTCAACACAAAACATTTTTGTTGTTATAGAACCAGCCATTCACCTTTGTTACTATAATCATCATCACAGGGAACATACTAATGTCGGCAGAGGTTTATTTTCAAGTACAGAAATGGATAATCTCACACCGACTATGTATAGGAATGCAAATAACTGGAAAAACAAAGGAAGGCTGGCAACAGAGAGAGGGAGAGGAGAAAAGAGCAAGTGATTGGAAACACAGATAACACACCAAGTGGAAAGTTATTGCAACATTGGTAACTAAACTGAACCCTAACTGTTATGGCTTGACATGGGCACATCTGTAATAAACACTGGCTGTAAATTGTGCAAAATTACTTCCCTTCAATACCAATATCATTTGCCTTAAACAGCACAAAATAATATGAGTGGTGGTATTTTTAAAAACATTTTGGCCAATTTTTCCTTCAGTAAAATTCTTGATTAATGACCAGCAGAGGATGTAAATACTCATCTCAATATCAAGATCTAAATTATGGCCAAATGTTAGTTTGATTAGCACTGAAGGAAGAATAAACGTTCATTTATGTAGTTGAAACTGTCATTCAGATGCTAATTGACCAATACCCTTATCGGTAGTAACGTTGAAGTCTAACGTAGTCCGAAATATTCTCCATTTAGGTTCAATGTAAATTGCATATTTAAAGCAACTACTTGTAATAATTTGTGCTTCAAAAAAGCATGTGCAAATAAATGGCAACACATTACAGAATCTTAATATAGCATGTTATAAAATTAGCCTTTGATTTACCAGCATAAATATTTAATCATTAGCATTTTTTTTTGAGACTTATTGTGTTAAGAGGTGGATTTACATTTGGTTAAAACACACTTTTTAAACCTGCAGTCCTTCTGTCCTTGCTACCATAGTCCCAATTTCTGCAATTTAATTTATCCTAATCTTTAAAGTGGACAACAACCTAAACCTACCTGCAGTGCAGGCTTAGAGGATCTTCCCTAGTTACACTAGTCAATATATCTAAGCAATAAGTAGCAGACATTTTTACATACAATGCAGCTGTCTCAGATGACAACTCTCAATATAACAAGAGAACAGTAACCCACTGTAGAAACTATCATCTCACTGTGCAAATATCAAAGATCAGCTAAACTATTTCCTGATTTTACCTCCACCTCATGAAGGAAACAATTCATTCCAGAATAGTTATTTGCAGGCTTAACAAATTGATCATAAACGCAAAAAATGTTTACTAATGCCTACCACAGGCAGTCCAGTCCCTGACATTTTTCAAGCAGGGGTCACTGCATCAGGAAGAATCAATCAATCAATCTGATTTTTAACTAGTTGAGAGGAACAACGATAATCTCATGTACCCTGCTGAGATCAGCCAACTCAGCACACAAAGATTAAACACAGGACAGAGCTTAGATTGTACTGCTTTGTACTGTATCATGTAACAAAAAAGGATCACAATGATTGGGATCAGTAATTAAGAAATGAGCAAAAAGAAACTCAGCAGGTGAATTGACGCAGTTTTGCCTGATGAGCAAATGGCACTATTTGCAAGTTAAACAGTTGAAATAAGGACCAATATATTGGATAAAGAGGACAAAGCCTCCACTAGAGACAAGGAACTCGACTGAGTCAGATAAAAGGCAAAAGTACTGAGGATGCTAGGACTCCCCTTTTTTGTATTCACCTCCCCCACGGTGGGTTGCAGCCAGGCCTCTTGGCAGCATGTCAGCTGGTCTCTCAGTGACTCATGGCAGTGTCTCAGCTCAGCATGCGAGTGGATCCTGCCCAGTCATGTCCCCGACGCACCAGGAGAAATTGGTGAGGCAGTAGTTCCAGCAGCAGTGATGGTGTCGACAGCAGACAGCTAAGGTCTCCCCAGAGAGCAAGATAAGCACAGGACTCAAAGACTGTTGAACTTTATTGTTGTAGTTTAAACTACAAAAGACTTTAAAGTAAACTATTACCTATTTCTTTATTTTTCTACTATTCTATGAAGTAGTGCTTAACTTTTAAAACTCTTGTTTCTCTTACTACTTTGTACCTAAGATTTTTTTTTGTACCTAGGTACCGAAGATGGCACCATGTGTGGTGACATTATGCACTTTTCACTGTACTAGAGTACACGTGACAATAATACCTAAAATCTAAACTGTGAGTGCAGGAGAAACACAGTTATGGCATCAATGGATAGAAAAATAGATAGAAAACATTTCAAGTCCAATATAGCTCTTCTTTGAGTTCAAAGAGTCACATTGGATTTGATATGTCAATTCTGTTTCTCCCCATTCTAGCGTTACCATCACCAGATAGAACCTTCCATCACTCTAGGGACTAAGCACATCGAAGACTTACAGTTAAGGGCCTAACTATGGAAAAGTTATCTTGGGAGTTTCCATTTGTCAAATGAGATATTAAATCACCTGCTCCAACAGCTGGCCAAAAAATATTTCACTAATTATTTTGAATAGCAGAGAAGTTCTATCTGATGTTTTGGTCAATATTTATCCCTCAACAACTAATACAAGAATAGATTATCTTGTCTTTATCACATTGCCATTTGTCGTGTGAATGCATACAAACAGATTGCCATGTTTCCTGTATTGCAAAGGACACTACACTTCAAAGATACAATCTATTGGATGTTAAACATTTGGCATGATCAAAAGTTGTAGTGGTGCTACATAAATGCAAATTCTGTCTCACTACATGCTTATTATCCTTTGGAGTATAATACATGATGTTAGGGATACATTTTTATCCCCTTGGATATGGAGAATCTTGAATATGGAGCTGTTTGGAGATCTTAGATTAAAAAAGGTCTACTAGGAAGGGGCATGAGTATTACTGGAATGGTTCAACAGTAATGAGCCGTGAAAATTACAGACAAGTCAAGGCTTCAGAAAGGAGGTAAGCAAAGCTCTTAAGAACTAATGGGTGCAGTTTATAGCTTTAATTGCTGGACAAACTTAGCTTGCATGAGATGAGACTCATAGGCTGAAAGCTGCCTGACAACATTCTTCTGAAGTTGGTTTCTGTCCTTCTTTCTCCCTCTCCACGTGCTCCCCCCCCTCCCACCCCACCCCCGAGGTCTTATACATAAGGACCTATGCAGAAGGAGGAAAAAGATGACATCCAAAGTGTGCAGTAAACAAGTCTCTTTTTCTCTCTTCTAAAAAGAAGAAACCTTACAGCATGACAAGCCATGCAGAACCTCAGAAAATTCCAGATATCATTACCTCTTGATTCCTTCATAAACTCTGAAAGCTGAGCGGTTGCTTCTATTCAAAGACCTAATTTAAACTGACTTTTCATATGAACTGGAATCAGAAGATTTACAATTATTCTATGGCAGTCAGCATTTTAATTTAATTGAAAGGAAACCTGGGGAACAGTAAGAAGTCATCACACTTTATTCCTTCAATTCATACCCTTTGCCCATGGGTATGTCTTTTACACTCCTCACTTTATCTGTAAACCTATGCCTTCTCTGGAGTGCTGGATTGTCATGCTTTTCATTTAAATATGCTTGATCATGGATTAGGGTCATTGTTTAATTCCAGAATATAACTTGGATATTGACTAGTTTTGCCATTTGTTTATTATATATAAAAAACTGTTTATACAAGTTAGAACATAGAACGGTACAGCACAGTACAGGCCCTTCGGCCCACAATGTTGTGCCAACTTATTACCCTGCTCTAAGATCAAACTACCCTGGAGTTTATTAAAGAAACCTGGTGAAAATCTTTTTCCTGGACAACAGCAATAAATTCAAAACTATTTGGTTATTTTGGAGAATCAAAACATTTACACTAATGGTGTAATGCATGGAGTAGCAAGGTTTGATTAGCAGCATTTTCCTCCCCTTTGTTGTAATAGGAAGGACTGCAGCTACATTTGTTGCAGTTTGGATCTCCTACAAGTCTCCTTTTCCAAGTTACATACATATAAAGGTCTACTCCAAAGTGTAATATACCATCGCCCATCATTTAAAATACAACCAAGGTGCTCGTGTGATTCAATGGTTTGCTTGATGTTTCTCAAAAGTAATGCTGTAGTTGCATTATCCGGTGGGGAGGGCCAAATAATGAAAGGCAATCATATCTCGGCAATCAAGTTATTTTAGAATTAAATAGATGACGAGAATGCATTAGACAGCTCTATACTTACACAGAGTTCTGGTTTATGTATAGAAGAAAAGCTAATTTGCTTTCGCCTCAGTAGCTCCACTGAGTCATCTTTAAACTACCAGAATTCATTATCTGTGTGTTACTACAGCTTAAGTTTCTTAAAATGAAATACAACTTTTAATTTAATACATGATAAATCAGTGATGGATAAAGTGTGGAACATAAACAAAGTTGCTGGAAAAGCTCAGCAGGTCTGGCAGCATCTGTGGAGGAGAAAACAGAGTTAATGTTTTGAGTCCGGTAACCCTCCCTCAGAACTGTTCTGAGGAAGGGTCACCGGACCCAAAACGTTAACTCTGTTTTCTCCTCCACAGGTACTGCCAGATCTGCTGAGCTTTTCCAGCAACTTTGTTTTTGTTCCTGATTTACAGCATCCGCAGTTCTTTTGGTTTTTATTATGGATAAAGTGTGCAGGGCAAATCTATAATGTTCAAGTTTTCTGGTCATTAGTATCATTCTAATTCTTTCTGGGTTACAGAGATAAAGTAACTTGGAAAGAGTTGTTTTACCAGGAAGGATGTGCATTGTAGGACGTGTCGCAGCATGTACTGTCAAGGTATGGAAGAGTGTCCAAAGTGAGCATGGGTAACCTCTGTACTGGGGCTGGCTGCCCTGGCAGCCAACCCACTCTACACGATTTGTAAGAAACATTCCAGATATCTGCAAGAGAAGGATGCACAGAAAATATGAACTTGATGCTTACGCGGTCATCATACATTGGGATGTACAAACATCTTGACACAGCTGGATAGACTGGATGCCACGATGATGTTTTCCCAATCCAGGTATTCCAGAAGAGGAAGTCATTTTCTCAGGTTAGACAGTAAATTGTGTAGGACTTAAGGAGGAAAGTCTGCTTCACTTGAGGTTGGTAAAACCTGTGGAATTCTCTAAGACCGTGGACGCCAAGTCATGGAATACATGTAAAAGGAGGTAGCAAGCAAGTTAGACAAAGGATAGCCAGTGGCCTTGATCTACTTGGATTTCCAGAGGGCCTTTGACAAGATACAACACAAGAGGAGAGAAAATAAGAGCCCATGGTGTTGGGGGCAAGGTACCGCAAGGATAGAGGATCAACGGATTGGCAGAAGGCAGAAAGTAGTGATAGAGGGCTCTTTATCACGATGACAGCCAGTGACTAGTGGAGATCCATGTTGGGACCACAACTATTCATGTTATAAATTAATGATTTAGACAAAAGAACCGAGAGAATTGTTGTTAAGTTTACAGATGACACAAAAATAGATGGAGCGTTAAAGGTTAAGATAAAACCACGAACGGCCAGAAAGCAGTTTGCTTGTGGGCAAGTATTTTCAGACAATGAAATAAAACGTTTAAAGATATGGTTTTCGGATTGAAATCTCAGCTGTAAAAAGGGATAGGAAGCAGGAAAATAGTATTTATTCACATGGTGATGGTGAATTGGAGAGTCACAGCTCTATTAGTTTCTTCCAAAATAAATCCAGTTAATTAAGAACTTTCCCCTATATTTGTATTACCTGCAGAAGTCTGAGACATTACTACAACTCCAAAAAAATCCACTTTAGTAATGACAGGTAGTGGTTTCAGTGGCAAACAAGTCACTTACCCTCATTTTGTTATTCACCAAATCGAGGATTGCGTTGTATGGGATTTTATCCAACGGGAGGCTCACTAACCACTCCTGCAGCATTTCCAGTAACTTCACTGCTGGTTGCTGACCAGGGAACAGCTGTCAAAGAAGAAGAAAATAGCTACTTGTCAAACCAGATTTCCCTAGTTGTTCAAAATTAACATAAAGGAAGAGGATATGATCATTTACCAACTTTGGTGAAAGAAGGCTTTCAATTTCAATGGTAGTTAGTAGTCAGTGTGCACAATTTATAGTTAACAGACCCATCTGTGATCAATAATGATAGTGTAATTCTGCTTGCTTAGTGAGAGCCATTTCCCAGTTAACTTTTGCATAAAAGTATTAAGGTTTTAGGTTACAGGATATTACTGCCTTGTGATGATTTCTGGCATTCATTTTCATGGGATCACAGTAGAGCACACATGAAATCCTACTATTACTACAATCAATTTCTTGGTTATAGAGCCATTGAGTCATGTTCAAGGGAGTGGCCCTTTTGGGGCTCAGCAGTAGTGTGCCTACCCCTGGACTGAGAGACTCGGGTTCGAGTCCCATCTGCTCCAGAGGTGTGTTATAAATCTCTGAACAGTTGGATTAGAAAATTTGGTTAAATTTATAAAAAGGCTTGAGGGGCTGTGGATTTATTGAAGTCTGTGACTAAAGATGGCCCCATCAACATTGAAGAATGAGTTAGATGGTTCAGGACAAGGGGATAAAAGGAATATGGGAACAGAATGGTCTTGTGGGATAAAGATTACGGTGAGTGCGGATTAATAGTAGCAGCCTGGTTCAGTGTAACGGTCCAATTCTATACTTCATTTTCTGTGCAATTCTCAAACAACGACAAGGCTAAACAATCCCATGTTTGCAGAAATGCTTTCAAATAAATATGAATATTGCAAGTTGAGAAACACAAGCAAAAATGAAGGTTAACTGTATTCAGACATGCAAGAAAGCAATCCTCAATTATGTCTCAAAGCTCAGCAATCTTTCCCTGCTACCACCCTACCCCAGTGGGCAATGCATGGAACAGAATTATAAATCAAATCAGCCAATACATTTTTGATCGACACTGACCTTATTTCTCATTAGAAATAAGGCCGAGTGCTATGGCAACCTGACTTAGAAATGTAAATTGTTGTTCCTTCACCGTCACTGGTCAAAATTCTCATCCCAACAGCATTTTGGGTACAATCACTAACATGTGAATGGTAGACTTCCAAAAGGCAACTTTTGGGCAGTTAGGAAGCACTGTAAATGCTGGCCTTGCCAGTAATATCCATTTCCTAAGGGTAAATGAAAGAGAAGTCAAATGTGTGATGTTCCTAAATAAATAGGAATCATGTTTACCCCTCACTATCCCACCACTCAAACCTTTCCTCTCTTCCTCTCCACAAATACAAGCCAAAATCTACCTTAAGCTTGCCAAATCCCAATAACAGATGCTACGATTCATTACTCTATTAGATTTCCTTCTGCCACCAAGGGACATCTGCAAATTGTTGTAGACAGATTGTACTTCATATGATTAACAAATGACATTTCAATTCAAAAGATAGCTTTGCAAGCAATATAGTTTATTTGATTTGAGATTGTTTCAAAAACAAAATAACGGCAATACGTTTTGTGCCAAAACCAGGAATCATAATCCAAACTAAGTACATAATCCTGTAGGGATCGACCAGAGTGGTTTCACCTGTATTACAGGGCAGAGTGGCTGTCCAAGGAAATTAAAAAGGTGCTGCACAAATTCATTGTGGACAGGATACAAAACAAAAAAACATGCTAAAAGTGGGCATATTTGCAACTAGCTGTGTATTGACACAAAACTAACAGTGCAGCATTATGGCCTTTGTCATGACAGCTGAAGGGGCAGATTCAATTTACAGGATACTGATTCCAGGCATGATCAAGGTTGGGGATGGAGAGTCGGGAGGGAAAAGAACAACATGCATTAGATCATATTAGGATGACTGCAATAACTATAAAATGGTTTGGGAGTCAGGAATTTACGTGAGTGCAATACAAAACAGATTTCTTCACTGGTCAATGAATTCAAGTGCAAGTCGCCTCCCACCTTTGGTTTTCACATTGTAGAACGTGAGCCCAGAATGTAAACTGGAAAAGAAACAAAGTACCCACACCATCCACAACACTCCCCTGTGGAACAACCTCCAGAGAAAATAAAGAGTGGTGCACTTACTGCATTCACTTAGGCATGTGAAAAATGTTTTGTTGCAATAGTCACAAATGCTGAAAAGGCAGAATGCCAAGCATTGAGCAACAAAATTTGGAAATCTTGAAGGACCAAGTGTTACTGAAAAATCTGGGAGAAACTAAATCCTCCTGTCTGCTATAGAATCAAACCTGTGGATGTCACACTTTCCTTTAAGAAATTGCTAATCTGGCCATCATGTTATCTCAGCCTATTGATGTCATTTAGTTGAAGGGCCATTAGGAAATGAGGGAAAATTGTATTTATAAAGCTTCAAAATAAAAACCAGAGAATTCTATGCTATTCTTCAATCCAATAAATATTTCACTACAATTTTTTAAAAATTTTAAACAGCACATAATAGGATAAGTTAACAGCAAAAGAACAACCCCTTTGAGTGCTACTTTCTTCAGAATGTAGCAAGGACTATTTTGGCAAAGGCTGAATGCCTGAGGGCACTTATAGCTATTCCCAATAGAACAGTCAAAAGAACTGAAATATTAGATCAAAGACTTTTTTCCCCCCCCTCCAAACACATTAACCATACTGAAAATGTATTTGTCCAACTACAGAAGGAAAATTTGCTCACTGTTTAGGGGTTCTGATAAGGCTGTCTTTTACTGAATCTAATTACTGCACTAAAGTGACAGTATGTGGTTTTGCACCAGTCAGTCTCCAATTGACGGAGCCCCCAATATTATTAATTTGGTTGCTATAGAAGCATACTTAATACAGGGCAAGTGTTTATCTGATTCTCAGGAGGATCAGCTTTGGGTCACACATGGGTTGAGTACCTTTGGAACTCCTTGCCACAGAGAGCTGTGGGGACAGAGTCCTTGTGTATATTTAAGGATGAGATAGATTGATTCGTGATCAGTTGGGGAATAAAGGATTATGGGGAAAGGACAAGAAAGTGGATCTAAGGAATGTCAGATCAGCCACGATCCTTTTGAACGGCGGAGCAGGTTTGAAGGCCGAACAGTCTACTCCTGTTCCCATTTCTTATATACTCCAGAATCACAGAGCATCACAGGAGCCTAACATTAAAGGCAAATACTGCAAATTTTAAACATCAAAAAAGGTTGGAAAAACTTAGAATCTGTTGAGAGAGCAAGATGCTTTAAGTCAAATGACTCTTTGGAACAGAACAGACACAATGAGAGCAAGAAACTGCAAGGAATTCCAACAATAGTCAGATCCAGGAAGTTTTGCATCGGCTGTTCATGATCTGCACACACAGTCCTCAGTCAAAGTTCAGTCACTGAGACATTGGACATTGGAGGCCCCATGTGCAAAGTTTAAGATCTCTGGTGGGCAAGTGATAAAGCTTCTAGTGTCAGGTTGAGAAAGCGCAAGTTAATAAACTACTTCCATCTCAGACCAAGAGTTGCTGCTGTAGTGGGCACATGCTATATGATGCAACCACAGTAAGAAGAAATCAAGGGCCACAGAAGCAATTTTGGAAATCAAAAGAGGTTGCAGATCTGGGAATGCACAGAGCTAAAATTAAAGTGATGAAGGAGCAAATTAGAAGCGTACAAGATTTGTTGAAAGAATAATTTTAGGAGAATCAGTAGTAAATCAGTAGGAGGCACTAAAAAGGGAGATCCTAAGGACACAAAGAAGACATGTCCCTTCCAAAAATAAGAATGGTACTGCCAAATCTAGAATCCTACAGTTGTCTCATCTTTCCCTGCACTTATCTAAACAGAAAAAGCAAGCTTGTGATAGTCACAAAAAACTCCTAGAAGAGTATAGATGGTACAGGGATCAAGCAAGAATGAAATATGGAAATCAAAGACAGGGCATAATATTCATATTTTTTCAAGATAAAGAAAAATCCAAATGTTTTACCAGTATGCTAACACCAAAAGGAAAGTTAAGGAAATAAGTGAGACCTATCAGAGATGAAGAAGGGATTATGGGAAGAACTTCAAATGAATTTTTCATCTCCCTATTCACAAAGGATAAGGAATATGTGGACATGGTAATCCAAGAGGAGCCCTTTGAAATACGGAACAATATAACCATAACAAGAGGGGAAGTGTTAGAGGAGTTGGAATCCTTGAAAGTGGATGAGTCGCCAGTGCCAAATGGATTGTTCCCCTAGGATTCTGAATGAGGGTCAGGGAGGAAATAGTGGATGCTTTGAGGATTATTTTCCAATCTTCACTAGGCAGAGGTGAGGTGCTGGAGGACTGGAGGAATGCAAGTGTAGTTCTGTTTAAAAAGGGTAAAAAGGAAATGCCAAATTATAAGCTCAGTTAGTCTTACTTCGATGGTGGGTAAATTGTTAGAATGAATGCTGAGAGATCAGATAAACTTTCACTTTGAATGGCATGGACTAGTCAGAGATAGTCAGTAAGGCTTTATTAAGGAAGGTCGTGCCTTACAAATATGATTTAACTTTTTGAAGAAGTGACAAAGAGGATTGATAACGGTAGTGCAGTTGATACTGTCTGCATGGATCTTAGCAAGGCAGTTGATAAGGTCTCGCATGGCAGAATGGTCCAAAAAACAAAAAAAAGAAAAAAGTGATGGGTGTTTGGAATTCATTGCCCTAGTTGGTGGTAGAGGCAGAAACCCTAAACTCTTTCAAAAAGTACCTGGATCTGCACCTTAAGTGCTGTAAGCTGCAGGGCTACAGGCCGTGTGCATTAAGATGGGATTATAAAAGGGTAACTTGGAATGACACAGACAAGATGGGTCAAACAGTTCCCTTCTGTGCTGTATCATTTCTATGGTTCTATGGACTGATAGCAGGCAGTAACAGCTAGTCAGTGTCATGGAGTAATGAAATCTCAGGCACGAGTTTTTCTGTTATTAAAAATAGTGCTTCATTCGTAAAATAATAAATTACTTGCTGAAAAACATGCTCAAGTAG